ATTTCCCAGAGAACTTTTTAACATTGTTGTTTATTTCTTAAATAAGTATCTCATCTCCCAAGCCCAAAGGCCCAAAGTAAGCTTTTCTGTTCATAATTCTTCAGCTTTGTTTGCTTTCTTGGCGTATATAAGCGTTATCGTCGTTGTCGTTCTAAAGTTACTTGTAAAATTTTCTCATTTTTATCTTATCAAGAACCACTGGGCCATAACAACGAAAATTAACATAGAATATTTTTGGTAAAGTTTTGTTCAAATGAAGGGTCACATCCTCTTTTAACGGATACATGTAGTAAAAATTAGATGGGGTCCAGGCGCGGATCAAGGAATTTTTTCCACAGGGGGGGGGGGGGATCCCAATAAAAAAAATATTTCAACCCAGAAATTTCTTGACGAGCCAAAGAAAAAAAAGAAATTCTTTTCACAAACGTGAAAAACCTATTTCGTGTGTGTGTTTGTGTGCGTGTGTGTGTGTGTGTGTGTGGGGGGGGGGGGGTCGTTGACTTTTAAAGCTTCATACCTAAGACTTTTCATACCATTTTAAGAGACCTCTATACACTGCACACTAGAGAGTTCTGGTTTTGAGGCATTTTTATGCAGATAGAGTGATCTGCCCTTTGATCAAGAATAAAATAAGTTGAATGTACAGTTTATTACTTAATTTGTGATCAAATCAAGCATTCATAACACTTTAATAGGCCAAGATGAATAGAAAGAACACTTCATGTGCAGGTATTTTGCCCACTTAAGTAAACAACAGTGATTTATGTTCATCAGTACTTCATTGTCTTTGAACATTTTTCCTGGGGGTAAATGCAAGGCACCCTATGTTGAAAATGTGATAGATAAGCTCAATACATACTTAAACCTTTACATACTATAATTTTCTCAATGTCCAAAAAATATTTTCCTCTAGTGTATAGAGGGTCCTTAACACAGATCCGCGTTATCGAGGAAGGGTCTGCGTTTTCTAGGGGGGGGGGGGATGGTTACTTTTACTTGCTTTAGTATATACATGTACATTTAACTGCCCCCAACCCCCTCTAGATCCGCGCATGGGGTCATTTGAAAATAGTATTCTCAAGAACCCCTGGACTAGAATGAGAAAATTTCCAACATACCATACATTCATTTTGTTTTTCAAATCTTGATTCCAGGGAGAAGGTTTGGGCCGGAAAGAGTGTTCATAATTTAACATAGGAATTTATATATCCCCCCAAACGAAGTGTGTTGGTTTGGGGTGGGGGTGTTTTGAGTCTTGGAATCACACTGTCCGTCTGCCTAGCTGTCCGTCTGTACGTGATAGTTTGCCCAGGATAAAATTTTGCTATGAAGAAACTGGAAGGTCATACTTGGTACAAAGATTACTAATGATCCGAGGGTGTGTCATGGTTTTGATCCAACATCATTCCGGCAAGTTCAAGGTCACTTAAAAAAAATAGCAGAGTTTTGTCCGACTCATTTATCTGTAATAGAGAGTCACCGGAAGCTCACTGGATACAGGAATTGCTTATGACAAAAAGGGTTTGCCACGACCTTCGTTCAAGGTCATTCCTGTAAGTTCAAGGCCACTGACAGAAAAGTGTAAGATTACTGTATGTGCTATAATTTTGGAAGCTCATACTAGGAACAAAGATTGCTTATGATCCACCGGTTTGAGATAACATAGTACTAGATTGGCAGAAGAAGTGGCAAAACTCGTGCCTGGATTATAAATTTATAAGGGGTGGGAGGAACACAGGAAACTTTTTCTCAGATTGCTTGAGATGGGTTTGTCCTGACCTTGAACAGAGGTTTTTCCCGCAAGTTCAAGGTCACTGGCAGATAAATATTAATTTTTTTTCCATGCTATAACTTTGTAATATAAAATCACTGGAAGCTATTACTTGATACAGAGATTGCTTATGATCCAAGGATGTGTTTTGACCTTGATCCAAGGTCTTTTTGGTAAGTTCAAAGTCACTGACAGAAAAGTGCAATATTCTTTTTCAGGAATATCTTGGTCATTGAGTATCACTGGAAGCTCATAATTAGTTCAAAGGTTGTTTTTGACCTTAAAATAGGTCATTTAGGCAAGTTCAAGGTCACTGATATAATAAGTGTAAAATTCAAAAAGGTCTAGTCGCCCACGTGGCGCAGTGGTAAGAGTGTCTCCTCTAGAGTCGTGGATTAAGGAGTTGATCCTTATGTCGCAGGTTCGAATCCCACTATGGGACGCATAGACCGATCCTTCAGATGAGACCGTATAAACTGAAGTCCCGTCTGGCAGTAGGTGCTGGCACGAAAAAGATCCTTCACTGTTCAATGGCCATGAGTGCCGAGTATAGGTCAAAATTTGCAGATCTCCATCGGCAAATATGGTGGCGTCTCCACATGATTGAAAAATTCTCCAGAGAGACGTTAAACAACATACACACAAACAAACAAACAAAAAGGTCTTTAATTTTGTAATAGAAAAAATTGCATGCATTTGCATTTCACTAAAAAAGATGATAAATATATCATCCAAAGTGTGTAATGGCCTTGACTTAAATTCGATGTCACTTAGAATATGATGTTTTGGATGAATAGTCTGAAAGAATACGTGACTGTGAATTTTTTTTTGTCGATGACATACAGATGGTGTTTGCTCTTAACCAGCTGCAGAATGTGTCCTGGCTTGACGCACGATTATTTGGACAAGTTCAAGTTCACTGACATAGGAATTTTACATTCTTTTACTGTCTTTCTACTGTTGAAACATTGGAAGTTGATGCCCCTTACAGGATTGTTTATAACCTTAAAATGTTGCATGACCTTGACTCAAGGTCGCTATGTTCTGTCCGGAGCTCCGACGGAAGACCTATTCGTTGCATTGCAACGAGCTCGGCTCTAGTTTTTCATACATTTGGTCTTATATGTAAATTGTTACTTTGTTCTACTGACGTATTATAGCTGAATATAAGAAGTTCTAGTTATGTTGAAAAAATACTAGTACAAAATGGGTATATAATTATAGAATTGTTACATAATGAATACATGGACTTAACTACTAAATAATTAGTGATAAATTATGGTATGTATTTTGTAAATAATTGCTGAATGACCCCAGTAAGGCACTCCACCATATACACAATAGAGATATGTTAGAGAAACTACGACAGAGTGATACAGACCAATGATGACAAAATAAAAAAAATCGAAAACAGAGGGCACACAGACTGGGCAGGAAACAATAAGCAGTTCCGAACTTTTTACCACATAATGGCTGATTTCCAGATAGTTTTGTGAATCAGGCACGTAATTTCAGTTTGAAGGGATTTCATTGGGGGGGGGGGGGCACTACCAAAAATTCCTTGACAAGCAAGCAAAAAAAAGTCGTAAGTCGTTCTTATTGAGGGGGTACGAACACACATGAATAGTGGCTATATTTTCTATAGTATTCTATATATCGGCAAAATTATTGGGGAGAGGGGGGAGGGACGGCCGGTTCCTACGGCCATTTGAATGAAACAAAATTTATCAAAATTTTGCGGAAAGTGACACGCGTCACATATGACAACCGCCACAAAATCAATCATGAATTGGTCCTTGGAAAGTGACACGTCACGTATGAAAACGGCCACAAAACAAGAGTAAGAAGAGAGTAAGAATTTCGTAACCTAGAAATGAAAGGAAATAGAACTGAAAGGGCATCACACAGTATACTCTTAGGTGTCAATATTTGCGAGAATCTTAAATGGAGCCGAGATGTAAAATATTTAATAGAAATTAAAAGCCTCAAACCCTTTATATTCTATACCTCCATCAATTCAAATACTGAGTACTTGGAGTTAAGTGTGACCAAATTGATTAGAGTGTACAAAAGCCTAAGACAAATCTTTAAATACGCGTGCCCAGTGTGGTTTATGGTTTACACTGAAATATGAAGGCAAGGAACAGTATGGACTCTTAAAAGTCCAATTAAACAATACAGATTGTAAGCAGAGTAAATACGGACCCCTGAAAACATCAGAGGTATCAGGTGCCCTGGAGGACTAAGCATTCCCTGTCGACCGTTCGTACCCGCCGTGAGCTCCTTGTCATGATCGGATAATTGGAGAAATCCGTAGACAATTCAGTATGAAAAAATAGCCTAATAATTGCATGAAAATTGTCAGTCAACATTCGAACTAACGACAGATAAGTCATTGTATCAACTATAGAATTTGCGAAACGGTGTCCGAAACGAGGTTGTTGATACCCTTGCATCATCAATTTAGTTGTCAGTATCATGCCCCGATTTAGAAATTGTTCGTACGTAGAACGTCCCCTTGCTTATCGAATCAACTGACGACATAAACCCATATGCATGTCAAAATGGTATATTGCTACAATGATAAGGAAAGTTGACGACAGAATATTTGAAAACATCACTTTTTAATAAAGTGCCATCAATGTCTTTCTCTTGTAAATTATCATATCAAAATATGAAACAGTTACATGTTACTGCTATATCGTTTTTCATCCAGAATTTTGTCAACCAAGGATACCTACACCTAGTAAACAAATGAAATCTCTTTACTTATAAAGTTATGCTTACCTTAATAATCAGTTAGATACCGGATACTTTAGGTGGAGACTGTATCTTCATAATTAAGAGTACCGGATACTTTAGGTGGAGACTGTATCTTCATAATTAAGAGTCAAGACATTATTATTACGTAAATTTATGTTCAGAATTTAGACAGAGGAAACATAATTTCTTTAAGTTCAAAGATTTAATTAAACAACAAAACTTATAATTTTGACCCATATTTTTTGTTTGAGTAATACAATTATTTTATTATTAATTTTTGAAATCAAGTAGGGACCAACACTGATTAAATAAAAGGAAATAATCACCTCACTCGAAAGTACTTCAAGATTTCTTTCAGGTTTAAGTTTACAGCTGAAGAACATAAGTATTTTTTCTTTAGATACTCTAATGATTCGTATATAAAGGCTTTAACTTGTCTTTTACGCATGATACTGTGAGTGTAGGCATGTTGTCTTACGTTGCCCTTTCTTTGTTGTGTATTACAGTTACGGCCGGGTTGTCTGCTCTTACTGATGACGGAATTCAGAACGTCACCAGTCTGCTGGGAGAGGAAGCGGGCGGAAAACCAAACACAGATGTCTTCAGACAGCTGCTAAACCAGGAAACCTTGATCAGAATGGCGCTGGTGAAAAACGTCCACGCCCTGATGAAGGACATGGTAGAAATTAAACAAACGATGGTTGTTAACGACGGAAGACTCCGGAACGCTGAGAAAGAAATCTTAGTTCTCAAACAAGAGGTACAGACACTGAAGACTGAAAACCAACATATAAAGGAGCAGGCTACTAAATTTCAACAGGGATTTACCGACTTTGATAAAAAGTTTGAAGAAACTGGGGAAAAATTCACTCAAGTCGCAAATAGTCGCGTTGAATATGAGAGGGAATTGGACTCAAAAAGACGGGAATATGAGAATAACACTTCCGGTATACTGGACGATATAAAAACAGAAGTTCGTTATTTGTCAGTGACTCTGTTAGATCTAAATAAACACACTCTAGAGTTGGATAAATCTATTCCAAATTTCATCGACGATAAAATAACTCTTTTCTCTGGAAAGCTGAACATTTCACTTGAAAATTTAAGCGAAGATATAGCAGCATCTTCTTTTCACAATGAGCAGTTGTCAAAAAATATGTCTACCTTGAAAAAAAGTCACAACAGTCTTATGAGAATGATCTCAGGTATGAACTCATTCAATTTTCAGTACAAGGAGTCAAACGATTGCTTTCTTCCATTTTACGTTTTACCTTTTTTATTTCCAGACGACCTTAATAAGACAATTCATGGTTTGAAAGAGGACGTTGAACAATCCCAGAATAACCAGCAACAATTGTCGTCTGCTGTGGCGACCTTGGAAATTTTCAAACTGAACATGTCCTTGAACAGCTGTGGTAAGTCCATGTATAGGTAATTTCTGTGAAAAATAAAAATGCACCGTTTATGCCCGTTTATACCCATATACACTTCTTACCGTTTTACATTTCATCTGTACAGGGTATTGCTTATTTATCACTTTACTACTCAACCTCTCTCACGTAGACATCTGGCTTATAATTTATTAATATTGCTACATATCTTTTCTTTATTTTCCCGTCCACTTCTTTATTTGTTTCTTTTCAGCGCCGTATAAGTCTACGTATTGTAGGTGGAATAACAACGAACACAACGAAGCCTAACCTTAGTGTACCCCGCTAATGATAAAACTGGATTAAATTATGTCTGTCATTCTCTCTGTATGTAACACCTTTAGCTTCCGGATGATATCTCTAAGATTCCTTTAGTATTTGCAATAAAATTGTTTATCATTCGCATGACTAAAAAAATGAACCTTGATGACTTTGAGAAGGTCAAAAGGCCCAAAAGTCAGGGTCACAAATTCATGTATTGCATTTAATGTTAATGGTTTCCAGGTGATAGCTTTACTTATTGAAATTTTGCATAGAATATCAATCTGTAACTTTTTATGCCTTAAAAGGCCTCTATTGATTTTCTGGCAATAATGTCAAAGGTCAAAGACAGAAATATATATATCTTATAGAATAGTTACCATATGATAACAAGTTCTCTTTGAAGTTTAAACTGAAACTCGAGGATGATGACTCTTTCTAAGTTAAGAAAGACCCCTATTTATTAAGTAGCTAAAAGGTAAAAGGACAAGCCTTGATCTGGATCATTTCTTTTCTCACCTTTGATATTTTTTAGGTCTTTCACCTTGTTATTCTGTCCTTAACTAAGGCAAATAATTTCAATAAAATATCTTTCTCTTATATAAACTATATCAATGAGTACTTTTGCTTTTTGGAGGTACCTGTAATATACATTTGCTTTTTTAAAAAAGTTTTTAGAAATGCAATGTGCTAAAAGGGGGTTCAGATCCCCTTTCATTCATATTTCATAATTTTTCCTCTGCTGAGAGGGGGAGATGGATCCTAAAAATGTGGGGTACAAATTCGCAAAGATGGAGATTTCTATGATGAGTGTATGAATTTTTTTTTTCAGTTTTTTTTTTTTATTTCCAATATTAGAGAGGTTACGGACACCAACATGTACGTGTAGGTGGGGAAATATGTGCATTACGTCACCAATTTTGCTAATGATGAAATTCTACACGTATCTACGTACGTGTAGATCGCCGATTACCCGTTAGAGCAAACTTGTAGCGTATATATTCTTATTTGCTGTTTATTTCAATCAAAGTTTGTGCTTTTCTAAAACCCGAAGATTTAGTACAACTACTGATACAAGGAACTTCGTGTTTTTATGGTAAAAAATAGGGATGTCAAAATATTTATTTTCCTTAGTCGATTATTCGATTGCATTATTCGAACGATAGTCGAATATATTCGGAACATTTCCTGAAAATAAAAATGTATTTGAAACTTCACTGGTACATGATTTATTTATAATTCAGAAACCTTTTTACTTAAATCTATTTAAAAAGTAACATCAAAATTTATTAACGCGTGGATAGCATGATTATTTGAATTTCAAAACCTAATTTTCCAAAGTGTATGATTTATAATTCATAAATCGGTTTGTACATGCAGTCAGTTTTTATTTAAGTAAGCAAAGAAAAAAAATGCCAGGAGATATTTTTTTTTAAAGATTATTATGAAATAAATTGGGGGAGGGGTGGGGTGGGGTGGGGGGGTAATCTCACACTATCCACATGTCAAGTGCCTGTGGAATTGTTAAACAGTTATATACTGCTTATTCGATTATTGTTTGCTCTGGCTATCAAAATGTCCTTATACAGTTTAAAATGTAAGCGAATTGTTTTGATAATTATCGAAGTGTCTAAACATGTCACAGTTATGGTTCTTCCTTGCGCTTGAGCAATCTTAAAATAACAAAAAATAATTGGTACATGGTATAAGATCAAGTCCAATTTATAATTTTACAAACAAAGCCTAGTAAATTGGTGGGTAATTAATAACAAAAACAACACAGGCAGTTACTGATAAATAATCCCGCAGTACGCGGCAGTAGTGAAGCACTTATAATTACTACAGTAATGTAACAGTCGATAAGATAATTCCCCTCAACAAAAAACGGTTGATTTTCCATGTACGTTGTACTTTCTATACGTACATGGAAAATCAACCGGTTTTTTTTTTTTTTTTTTTTTTTTTTTTTTTGTTGAGGGAAATTATCTTATCGACTGTCTCTGAGGAAAGACGGTTTCTCAATTTTGTGATGAGAATTCCATCACGTTATCACTCTTTTATTGCATTTATTTAATTATGATAATATTCGAATGTCGTTTCATTATTCGATCGTCGGTCCATTCGACTGACAGTCGAATAGTCGACTATTCGTTGACATCCCTAGTAAAAAATTATTTTTTAAGTGTTAAATACACTAATCTTGAATTTCAAAACTTTATTTTACGAATAAAGGATATAAGTATTCTTTTTTAAATTTATTTTTATAATGTTTGCATATAATCAATTAAATTAGTGATGAACATTATTATAAATACTTTTGTATTTAAAGCATTTACAAGTACACGTACAAGTTATGTTACCTAACGAGAAAAAGGATTTAAACGCGGACTTGTATTTCTAACTTGTACTATACACGTACATGTACACGTTGGTCTGCGAAACCTCTCTATTAAAACAATTATCACGAACGTGTAGATCAAGGGTGTACAGATACACACGTCACTTTATTCATACGTCATTCATAAGTTTTTCTTTTGTTTAGTTAGTCTTCTTAACTCGATGTTTTTTATATATATATTTCTTTATTTACTTTGTGTATAACATTACATATTAATGACAGGGATATAATTTGAAGCTCTGTTTTATGTTACTTAATACAGGTAAGACTGATCACGTGGGGTTTACTGTTGGTATGACGAGTCGGCACACCACCTGGGCTGGAAGTACCTTAGTATTTCCTCATGTTGTCTTCAATAACGGAAATGGATACAACCCCAGCACTGGGATATTTACTTCACCCACGGATGGTACTTACGTCTTCTTTGTAAATGTTAACGTTTATGGTGCTAATTATATTTATTTAGACATTGTTCTTAACGGGAGTTCAAAGGTCAGGACAATGTCGCACAACACTGCACAGTATATGACAGGAACAAATATGGCTGTTCTCCAGCTGGTGAAGGGCGATAGTGTATGGGTTAAACTTCACGATGGGAAAAGCTACTATTCCCATTCTGTACCCATAACAACCTTCTCTGGTTTTCTCTTATAATAACAGCAGCTTGTGAACGGAAAACTTAATAAAATTAATTTGTAATGCGTTTACTTAATTGTCTAAATTTTGATCTTTTAGGGAAAAAAAGCCAAAATAGCAAACGCTAGAGGTATAATTATTGGCAATGCTTGTATAAAGAAAAACTACATAAAGTGATTGTCTTTTTTTTTTTTTTTTTTTTTAAATTGTACTCATTTCTTTTGATACTTTGGATTTATGAATAAATGGTATTACCCTGGCATTGAAAAAAATTGATGAAACATAAATCAAACCATGAATAAAAAGGAAAGTTCAAAAAGAGAAAGCCACTGATAAACATGTAGATCTATGAAAATGGTTAAGGTAACAGTGATCGATCTCAAAAAATATATGAACAATACAGTTCTGTGAAGAGGGTATAAAACGGATCCCTGGAAATTCCAGAGGTGGGATCAGGTGCCAAGGAAGAGTAAGCATCCCCTGTTGAACGGTCACACCCGATTGAGCCCTATGTACTGATAGGAGCATTTCGTTGTCAAAGTTACTCCTTAACAGCAGTTAATATTTTTTAAGTAGAAAGGATAGGGGCTGAGTAGAGCATTTCTTGACCCTGCAATGTAAATATAATTGGATTTTATACACCTTTTTTAAAGCTTCCCTGATTATGTGAACTATCGAGATAACGAACAGTATTTAAGCTCAAAGTCCTTTTGAACAATACAAATTAGGAACAGAGCAAACACGGACCTCTAAGACATCAGATGTGGGATCAGGTGCCATCGAGGAGTAAATATCCCCTGTAGACCGGTCACATGTCACAGACCGCCTTGTGCTCCTTGTCATGATCGGGAGAAAAACAGAAAAATCCGCAGAAAATTCAGTGTGTAAATAATGGCCTAACAATAAGTATGAAAAACGCCAGTCAGCATTTGGCTTCATGATAGATTATATTTGATGACAAGGTCATTGTACTGACCATAGAACTTGCGAAATGATGACTTTAAACGAAACTGTTGATATTCTTGTTTCATCAAATTGTTTGTCAATAGCTTGTCTCGATTTAGAAATTATTCGTACGTAGAGCATGCTCTTGCGTATCGAATCAACTGAGAGGCATAAACCCTATACAAGGGTACACTGCTACATAAGTAAGGGAAGTTGACGATTGAAAAGTTGAAGTCATCACGTTTATCATAAAGCTTTGTTTTTAGGTTACCATTAACGTCTTTTTAACATATTTATATATTTAAACTCCCCATACTCAGAGTCTGATACCGGATACCGTAGTATAGAGGCTATATCTTTAGCTATATAGAGCTATAGCTTTGAAAACCCTTTATTCAAAACTAAAGAAAAAAATAAGATCTCATTTTGTTGGATGTACTGTAACATTTCCTTAAGATCAACAGATTTAAATTAGAGGATAAAGCATATGATTTTAACCGACATGATTCAAATATAATTTGTATGAGTGAATTGTTATATATAAAATCTTTGTGATCAGAGACAAAAAAAACCCCATCAGATAAACGTACTTAAGGGACTTTCTTTGTAGTTTAAATTGGTAAATGAAGGTCATAAGCACGAATTGAAAGATATTTGCACAAAAGTGTACAAAAATCTATATTGTAATAATTGTTCAAGAACTACTTCAGTCCTTATTTAACGATTTGAATATAAAAGCGAATTGATTTGTATATTAAGGACAATAGCGTCTTTGTAAAAATGTTGCCCAAGATTGTCCTTTGCTTAGTGTGTATCACAGTCACCCGCGGGTTGTCCGCTCTTACTAATGACGACATACAGAACGTCACTAGTCTGCTGGGACATGAATTTGGCGGCAAACCAAACACAGATGTCTTCTAGACTGCTGGGACAGGAATCAGGCGGCAAACCAAACACAGATATCTTCTAGTCTGCTGGGACAGGAATCTGGCGGCAAACCAAACACAGATTCTTCAGACAGCTGCTGAACCAGGAGACCTTGATAAGAATGGCGCTGGTGAAAAATGTCCACCCCTAATGAAGGACATGGTAGAAATGAAACAAACGATGGCTGTCAACGACGGAAGACTCAGTAACACGGAGAAAGAAATCATAGTTCTTAAACAAGGGGTGCAGACACTTAAGGACATAAGCAACCTAGTTTGAAGTTTATAGTCTTTTTCTCTTGAGTTGAAGAGTTCCAATACTTAAGGAACTGTGTGTTACATTTTAATGTCTATATATGCTGTAGTATACTTCTTCTAAAACAAGTTTTGATAAACAAAAAATCTTGAATATATATTTAGTAATGTTTGTATATTTTTCTTTAAATTATACAAGAATTTTCATCAATTGATATCTTTTCAAAAATCCTGGTAATGCATACTGAATTTTTGTCTACTGAACGTCTGATGGCATTATAATCTTAAATTAAGAATATCTTGAAGAATTATCAGTAGGTAATGTACGTTGCGTATGTCCTTAAGACTGAAAACCAACACATAAAGGAGCAGGCAACAAAATTTCAACAGGGATTCTCGGACTTTTATAAAAAGTTTGAAGAAATTGAGAAAAAATTCGCTCAAGGTTCAAATAGCTGCGTTGAATATGAGAGAGTTGGACACAAAAAGGTGGGACTATGAGAAAAATACTTCCGGTATACTGGACGATATAAAAACAGAAGTTCGTTGTTTGTATGTGACTCTGTTAGATCTAAATAAACACACTTTAGAATTGGATAAATCTATCCCAAACCCCATCGACAACAAAATAACACTTTTGTCAGGAAAACTGAATGTTTCACTTGAAAACTTAAGCGAAGATTTAACACTTTTTTTTTTACATTAAGCAGTTGTCAACAAACATGTCTGCTTTGGAAGAATATCACACCAGCATTATAGGAATTATGTCAGGTATAAACATCCAGTTATCAGAACAAAATGTGAAACGATTGCTATCTTCGAATTTTACTTTTTTCGAGACGACTTTAACAAGACAATTCATGTTTTGAAAGCGGACGTTCAACAATCCCAGAATGACCAGCAACAATTGTAAAACAGGTTGTGTGAAATTGCAATGTTATTGATTTTCGCAGAAAACAGGTGTTTTTGAGAACCTTCAGCAAAGAATTAAAATATGAGCACACCCCTCGATCCAAAAATTAAAGTATGTTTTATAATCTTTATTAATAGTTCTTTTACAATATATTTACACATTTTGGATCGGAGGTTGTACTGTATATGAAATATTGAAAAATGGCATCATAATTTGGCTATTTTTGAAGAAATATTCAGGATATGTGCATAATGACGCTATTCATGACGTCATAATGCATTGACTAGAAAGAAAATTACGTCATTTTCAGTAGATTTTCATTCACCCAGTGCTCAAGTATTATTTATTGCCTTGTAGACTAAAACTATACAGTTTTGAACTTTCAGAAATTCACAGGGCCAAAAAAGGCCCTAAGTGGCTCTTGCTCTTTAAAATCATTGTTTGTAAAATGAAATTGGAACATTATGCTCAAATATATTTCTTGTCGTTTTACCCTGTCCTCCGTCTAAATGTTATTTTATTATGTTATTACTCGCATTCTCTTCTGCATACATCTAGTATATATATATATATATATATATATATATATATATATATGTGTGTGTGTGTGTGTGTGTGTGTGTGTGTGTGTGTGTGTTCATATATATATATACTAGATGTTATATTATATATATATTTCACTGAAAACAAGACTTCCTTTGAAAAGGTTTTCTAATGTCATTTTTTGTCAGATTTTGAAGAAATTTATATAGGTTAAAGCAGAATCAACTTGCACTTTTTGACATTCATTGAAATAATGTTTTGTCAACTCATTTGTAAAATGTGGGTATTTCAATCGCAACATAAAAATATTTTATAGAGCTCTACTATATATCTCTTGCAATATATGGGCCGAAAAATTGTACTTTGGATTGTTAAAATCAAATCTCAGGAACAGAAGGTTGGAAAAATATTTTAATATTAACACAAAAAGCTAGAGAAATTTTGAATTCATTAATCTATACCTTTTTAAAATCGATCAAAGGGTTATTTGTAACAATTCTTTAAAAATGTTGGTTTCCAATGAAATATATAGTGAAAAGAAAAAAATGACATACTTTTGGCACCTGAGTGTATATATATATATATATATATATATATATATATATATATATATATATATATATATATATATATATATATATATATATATATATATCATTGCTACATATCCTCCCTTATACAGGTTGTAGAGAATACCCGAAATCAGGTATTATCTGTGAAATTGCATAAAATGCACAATATCGGGTATCGGCTTTGTACCCGCGAAGTCGGGTGTAGGCAGTGTAATAAATTTATGAAGTTTAGACAATGTGATTGCTCATTTTGCTAAATCAAATTTCACCTAGAGATGAATGAAATGCGAAGATATCAGTAGTCGAGAAAGAGTTTCGAAGTTTAAATCAATGCGCACATGGCAAAAAACTCCCGGAAGCTACCGTACGTTTCACGTTCTGCGCCTTTATTTTGTATAATGATAAAATATTTGCCACATCTTCAAGATAATACCTTCACTAAAGAACTCCAAAATATTCAAATTCTGGAATTTATAATAATTCCATATTAATGCAACAAACATGAACGATTTTGTAAGTAATTTCATTTATACGGAAACACGTTTCACACAAAATGAGGTATGTTTTAATGTATTTAGTTAGTTTGAAACAGGAAAGGGGAATATTTTTCCGATATTGTAGTTTAATTTCCTAAAAATATGACTGAGTCATTTAGTACAAAATGTTACATTTCTAAAAACGTTTTTCTAAAAATTTGCTATCTCTGGGTCATCTGTCCACGATTTTAAAAAGTTATTTGTGTGAATTGTAATTCAAAGAAACGATCAAACATTAAAAAAAGAGGAATAAAGCGATAACCCAGAGACCAAAAAAATGCCCCCCCCCCCCAAATCCCATTGTGTAAATGCTGTGCTTCATTTAAATCCAATTTGTTTGTGTAGCGATGATAGCTCAGTAGTATTCGATCGTCGCCAGTC